AACGAGAACTTTGAAAAACCGATCTATCAAAGAGATAGTCTTCGTGTATTTGCAGACTACCAGATCTTGAGTAATGACGCAAATTCAGCAACACGTCAACTTTAGAACGTGATGGAACGTCAATTGACATTCTAAATTCCAGCAACACCAAGCTGAAACGTGATTGGCCCATTTAAAGCATATTTAAAAAAAACTGAACAAAGTAATAGACAATAATTTTTAGTTGTTTTTTCGGGTGTATGTGTGGGGACGGGGGTGTATGGAGGATAAAACCTACAAAACAATAAATAAATAAATAAATACGCAAATCTTCCAGCAAGAAGACAGGGAGGAAGAAGTAAAGTTGACATTTATTTATCAATTATAGCCATTTTAAAGTTTCACTATTTAAGAGTTGTGTATTTTGGTAAGTGATTTTAGAAATAAATGATCTGTTTAAAATGCACAAAACTCCTTGAAGCAAGTCTAAATGTTATTATTAGCTCGTTTCTGTTTTCACTTTCATGGTTTCATTCACTAACAAATCACAATCTTTAAAATTAGTTGAGACAATTTGTAAATTAACAAATAGTTTTAACTTTCTCTTTTGTGATTTGGTGTCATTTAGCCAGATTGTCTGACTCAGGAAATCACTCATACTTTTTTGTTTGGAGTACTCATTTCTAACTTAAGAGCTCAAATATTGCTATACACAATACTGTTATCAGTATTTATGTAACATTTTTAATACTCTTTAGTTACAACCACATATATCCAAACCATCTCCAAGTGCGTGGCAAGAATACAGAATCAAGAGATTGACCATCACAAAGAGCGTGTTTCATGGCAAGTGAAATAAAAATTATTTTAGTGAAACTTGGGCAAAGTTAACTGTATTTAAATATTTTTAAAATCCAATTTTTTTTTCAGTTTCAGGCCTCGCTGTTGTGCTGGATGTGAAGAAATGTTGGTACTTCCTTTGTCTTTGTTGAATGATTTGTAGAGCAGTATCGAATATGGTCAGCCCTTCCTTTGACCCACACAACAAAAGCTGAGAGGAGAAGAGACAGGTAATCTAGAGCTAAATTTGATTACTGATAGCTGAGTGATTACCTTAGGACACTGTTTTTCAGTCCTGGTTCTGAGATCTGCACACAGACTTTTAAATTCAGTCCACCAGCCCCAGGGCTTCCGGTTAATTTTCATTCCATACAAAATTTGCCACATTTAGGATCTGATTTCTTAAAAAAAAGAAATTTCTTATATAAAATTTTCTTTATATAAAATTGATTTCTATATAAAGTGGGAATCAGACCAAACAAGATGCACTGCAATAAATTATGTTTTTCTGTTTCATGTTTTTGAAATATGGAAATTAGTTTTAGTGTTTTCAATAGAATTTCTGCGCTAGCCTGCCGCTAATGACAGCACCTGTATTTAAACCGCTTTTGTCTCTTTTTACGCTTTAACAACCAAATGGATGCTTAAATATTTCAATTACATTATAACATAAATGCTGTGAAAGTAACCTTATTAAATTGAAAATAGTCACATTAATCTTTCACCGGAAGTTCATCATTGGCTGAAAAACACTAGCTGTGCATATAGCACATTGTATAGTATATGCTACTGCATTTTTTGTTATTTATTTACTTGCTATAGAAAAATCTTTAAGATTTATTTAGAAGAAAACTGAACTTGTGCTTGTTTGTTGGATAACGACTGTTGCAATGAAAACAAATTTGCAAACATTTTTCATCTTACGTTAGGGATGCACTGGTATAGAATTTTTGGCTGATACAATAACTGTAGATTTGGAGGCAGGTAACCGACTAGCCAATAAATATAATTATTTTAAAGTTTTCAGCATGACTGCTAAAATAAAAGCCAAACACATAAAGTGAACAACTGATTTTATTTTTAAAACTTCATAAAAGTTTGAACTGATCTTAGAATACTCAAAAAAAAAAAAAAAAAACTTTTTTCTACTCAAAAGAAAAATAGCAATAATTTCAAAATTACAAGGCGATTACAGACCTGTTTTCGCAATTTCACATAATTCAGCATGCCAAAAAATAAATTATTTCATTTTCTCTGCATAGCAAATGAACATGCAAGAAGCTAAATAAATATATTTTAAATAAAATGAAAATGAAAATAAAAACACTAAGCCAAAAAGAAAATGAATGAAAGAACTAAGAACTGAAATCAGGTCAAATGTTCTCAAATGAAATGTGTTACAGTAATATACTATTCTTAGTTGTTTGACATTTTTATGACAGCATTACCGCAAAATTCTCTTGTGCTTCCACAAAAATCATTACATGTCAGTTATTAATAGCTGATTTAACTTTTGACAGCATGCGTTGACTATTTCATTTAACACAGAATATAAACATTTTTCTTTTTATATGTGTTTAATTCGATCGAATGCTAAACATGGACATTTTTTTTACAGAACAGCCAGAAGTAGGGCATTCAAATTTATCAATAAAAATAATCCCATTTGCATAAATAAAATTTAGCCTAATCTGTATTTTCTATTCCTAACAAATTATTCAACAGATTATTAAAAATGGCAATGCTGTCTAAAATGAAACTAGTTTTTCTGAAAAATCTGTTAGCAAACACAAATGTGATCTTGTTGAACATCACTGATTATGTTGAGTCTTGCTCAAATGGACAAAACATAAAGAAAACGCCTCCATCACAGAGAAACAGGCACTCGTATGAGGTCTCCGCCTAAAAGGAACTTGCATCCATTTTTCTTCTTTGTGTAGATACAATTCTATTTGCTTTCATCTATTAGTATTTTTTTAAACATAGGCCTGTCTGTTTTTGGGGGTCCTGCAGATAACTGCCTGGACCTGCATTCACCTTATAATTTTTTTCCTGTGCTGCACTGTTGCATCACATTATCTTTAAAATAATTCTCAGCACCTAATTTAGAATTGATCTGAGTATTTTTCAAGATAAAACGTAATGCAAACAAAGTAGATGTTTATGTTTAAAGTTAACGATTAAGTTAAAAATTAGTTGAAAGGTTATTAAATAAATTTACAAATTGTAAAAAAAAAAAATTTAACAACTGCTTTAAACATTACACTGCTTCACCCCATGTACTTCTAAATATGTTAAATAACACATATTCATTAATTCGAGCAGCACGGCTGCTGAGAAGGCTTTGTTAGATCACTGTGTGTAGAGCCATAGCCATCACGTGTTCTTATTATAATTATTATAAATATGCAGATCAAACTGAATACAATCTTACATTAACGACACATGGCAAGCAACGCGTCATTGATGTAATTTTTTCGTTTATTTTATTTTTAATAAATTTGCAACAAATTTAAAAAAATATTTTTTCACACTGTTATTATGGGGTATTTTGTGTAGAATCTTGAGGAAATAAATTAATTTAATCCATTTTAGACTAAGGCTGTAGCATAAAATTTTTTGGGAAAAAGCGCTATGAATACTTTCCAGATGCACTGTAAATACACATCTTTTTAAAGACTCAATGTACCATCAAATACAACAGACTATTCCTGGATATTTCTGGAGTTCCAATCAGACTGTAATAATGATAAATTAGGAATTATATTTATATATCAGTCAGGTTTTGTTAAGGAAAAATTATGGTTTGGGGTTACGTTCAGTATGGGGGCATGTGAGAGATCTGCGGAGTAAATGGCACCATCAATAGCCTGAGGTATCAAGACATTTGTGCTTCCCATTACATTACAAACCTCAGAATAGGTAAATTCTTCAGCAGGAAACCATTCCTTCTCATACTTTAGCCTTCACAAGTTCTTGATAACAAAGAAGGTCAAGGTGCTCCAGGATTGGCCAGCCCACTCACCAAACATGGACATTAGTTCTTTTTCCACTGCACCATGACTTTATATTCTGCACTGTATTATTTCTGTTAAGTGACAAGACTTTTGTCTAAGCAAAGTCAGACCTTACTGTTCTAATTAAATAATTAAAAATCAAGGCATGATCATATTTTATTTTGGTAAAATAAGCGTAATCTAGAGGCCTTTGCCTTTCATATAAGCCACTTTTGATTCCAAATGATCAACTAGAAGTCAAGTAATTATTTGTTGTTCCTAATACTTGGATAGTCGACAAGAGTTTTGTCAGGTAGTGTACAGTTGGAGTCAGAATTATTACCCCCGTTATACTTTCCCCAAATTCTGTTTAATGGAAAGAAGAAACATTTCTTAACATAATAGTTGGTCACACTTTATTTTGATGGTACGTTTGTTGATTTTAAGTTACATTGCATTTACAAATAATTCTTATTAGATGATAAGTAGACTGTTAGGTTGGGGTTAGGGTTAGTGTAAGTTGACATGTGCTTGCAAAGTTGCATAAAAAACTGCTTTTATTCTAGTTGAAATTAAACAAAAAAATACTCTTTTATTATAGAAGAAAAAAATAGAAATTGACTGAAATACTGTGAAAAATGTTTTGCCCTGTTAAACATCATTTGGGAAATATTTGGAAAAAGAAAAAAAAATCACTGAGGGCTAACAAATCTGACTTTAGCTGTATATAGGCATATACACATCTATATGAATATGTATTTAATTGTTTTATAGTAGGCTATGTATATTGTTTGTATTACTTTTCTTTATCTTACATGTTGTTGCTATGATTATTACTTGCTATTAATATTATTGTTATTAACTTACTATTATTTTGGATGGAGAGAAAGAGAGAGATTACATAAAATATGTATAAAATACTTTATAATCTAGGCTACTTACTGAATAAGTTACAGCGCAAACTTGTAAAAAAGAAAATAAGTTGATACCGGAGATAATAGGGCTTAAAGCTGTTTGTAGAAGTAAAAATAAACATGGTACACATTTTATTGTGCCGTGAGATTTACGTTTGAAAGTTCCTGTGAACAAAAATACGAAACCAACGATTGAACTGATTGGAGATCAGCGCTTGGGACAACTAACGGGAGAGTGACGTTCGAGTCACGTGCACAGCTCGAGCTCGTCACATGATCAGCTGATGACTGCTTCCCCTCTGATGGATGCAGGATTTCCAGCCTTCGCCGCTTCGACGGGCTCACAGCAATCCATTTCTCTCCAAAATACGACAAGCCGACAGAAAATAACAAAGCAGTAGCTTTAGGTTCAGTCGAGGAGGAACCTTTAGATAGCAAATCTGGCGCTGCTGTTGGAGTTGATGATGAACGGGCACGCGATTTTATACACCGGGGTCACTTTGGCCTTCTGGTCGACTATGGTGATCGTCGGTAAGTGCTAATAAAACCTTTTAAAACATACATAGAATGAACACTCTCATCTTGTTGTAATTAATTTGTCTTTATTCGTATTTATAATTCTTTCTTCTTTTTAGCAGATAAGCATTTTGACGTATTTAAGCAGACGTTAGCTGTCAGACACTAGCACGACTAACGTTAACGTTACGCCGAACAATAATAATATTAATGTCATTGAGGAATAATGCAAGCTGTTTTCAGAATGAAAACATTGGTGTAAAGTTGAAATGAAATGTATTATATAATTATACAGTAGGAATAGTACCGAACCCTTTAAAGTCTTGTCGGTGAGTAATAAGCATAATATTACACCTGCTGTGATGAGAACGTCATTATGTTCCTGAGGTGTTTCTTTTCCACACATTGACCGTAATGACACTGAAGAGTAGCAAAATGCATTTGTATATGTAGCCAGCATAGCTTTGTTTTGTATTTGCTACAAGGTTGTTAAACAGGTTTTATGAGCAAATGAGGAAGATGGCTCTCACATGACTGTGAGCTTTCACGTATTCCCTCTATGACTGAATGAAGAAGTGTGTGTGTGTCTGTGTGTGTGTTTTGTGCTACTTTAAAAGTTATTACCGTGCTACACTTTTTTTATATATATAATGATATCACCTTGATATTAACGTCATAGCTAAAAACAACACTAACCCATTTGTTTTTATTTCTCCACAGGTATTTGCTATACAATTTTTGACCTTGGATTTCGATTTGATGTAGCATGGTATGTATTGTGTAAACCAATCCTTCAAATACTATAATATTATGCTATTGCTTAACAGGCTTGTTTTGTCCATTTACTGTAACATTAATAGCATGTAGTTCTGAAGTCCGTATTAGCTAATTAAAGATACAATTAATAATTTAAGTGTTCCCTATGATCTTTAGAAAACCTGATCTTTTTTGTCACAGGTTTTTAACGGAGACTTCTCCATTTATGTGGGCTAATCTTGGAATTGGCCTGGCCATTTCTCTGTCTGTTGTTGGAGCTGCATGGTAAGACTGTCCATTTCCTCTTTTTAGTCCAGTAACTTCGGAAATTCTGATCTGTAGTTTTCAATATACCTTTTTTTTTAGCTTTGAATTTAAAATGGCTCCATAAATGATGGATTCAACTATTTATGTTTAGCATACTTGACCAAATGTAATGTAATGTAATGCAACAAAATTAACAACAATAACAGTTTTAGTAACAGTATTATTAACAATATTTTTAAAAATATATGTTTTAAAGGCTAGATATTGTACTAGTAATGTGAATTGGTATCGTGAGAATTTTTTTTTTTTGACTCTGCAGGGGGATTTACATCACTGGGTCCAGCATCATTGGTGGTGGAGTCAAAGCTCCAAGAATCAAGACCAAAAATCTTGTCAGGTAGATAAAATGTACTTTCTTTTTTATTTTGACTGAGTTTTCAGGATAAACCAGCGCAGAAAGACACTTCTGTATAAATTGAGAGATTTTATCAGAACCATGATTTTTAAGCATCAAATGTTAAAAGTGCAATGTAGTTTTAATTCTCCTTCCAAACCAAAACAGTTAGATTAATAAAATGCTCATCTGGTTCATCTACCTTTATTACAATGTTGTAAAATATACGCAATTCCATCTGTTTGGTAATTCAGTTTTATATTCTTGCCTAAGGATTTTACTTTTTACTAATTTTTGACAATTTCTTTTTTTTTTCTAGTATTATCTTTTGTGAAGCTGTTGCCATTTATGGGATCATCATGGCAATTGTCATTAGCAATTTGGCAGAGGTAAGTGAAAACCTACCCATTTCTTAGTAGGCGTGGGCCAGTATAGGTTTCTGATGGTATGATAATCTTGGATAAAAATATCACTGTATTGTGATTATTCCTTTAAACACAAAGTGAAAAGCAAAAACCTTTTTTCACCCCTTTGAACACAATATATTATATTTTAGGAAGCATTACAATAATTTAGAACATTAAACATGTCAGGCTAAATAATTTACATAAATAAACGACATCTGCTGTCCTTATTAGTTTCATAAACACTATTTTTTACAAAATGTAAAAAAACACATAAAAAAAACTTACATATACCTTAGAAATGGTATTACAGAAAGTTTTAGTGGTTTTAAACCTTGACTTTTCCAAGCCATGATAAACCTTGAAACCGGTTGTCATCCAATGCCAAATTTTTTGAGAAAGATTTCTTTTATGTTTTAATGTCATTTAGAACTTCAGTGGCACGACTCCAGAGACTATTGGGTCAAAGAACTACCAAGCGGGTACGTGATGCTCTAAATCCCTCATCCTGAGTGTAATTTCTCCCTTAACTTCTGTTGAGCAACCAAATGACACTGGTGCTGTCCTTTCAGGCTACTCCATGTTCGGTGCTGGACTCACGGTTGGCTTTTCAAACCTCTTCTGTGGCATCTGTGTTGGCATTGTGGGCAGTGGTGCTGCCCTGGCGGATGCTCAGAATGCCAACCTCTTTGTCAGGATCCTTATTGTTGAAATTTTCGGCAGTGCCATTGGACTGTTTGGAGTGATTGTAGCCATTTTGCAGGTATGCTTTTTTAAACATATATTTTTTATTCTTTATAGGCTGTTTTGTTTATGGTTTTCTAAACAGGATTAGCATAGCACTTTACTGGAAAAGTAGTTGTTTATCATTTGAAATATGCTGCAACATATATTTGGAGCATTTAACTTCAAAACATAAATACACACACATTTGTTTTTGGTAAAAAACAAGAGATATGATTGTGTGTATTTTAGCACATTTAATTTCAGTGTTTTTTTTTTAATAAATCAATTGCTTTAGCTATGACGTTTATAATACATGTTTATGGTTAATGACACTTTAATTTCTGTTTGTTTAGTTTTTTTCTATATTTTCATTCCCTTTTCTCTTCTGAATATTGTTAAGAAGTTTGATGAGAGCTAAAATACATGTTCATTATATAATTTTTTTGTCTTATGCTGCAGTCACACTAGAGCAATGATCTCAAACTCAATTCCTGGAGGGCCACAGCTTTGCATAGTTTAGCTCTAACCAGCTCCAACTCACTCCTGCTTAAGTCTTTGGTGGTCTTGAACACCTTGATAAGTTGCATCTACTGTGTTTGATTAGGGTTGGAGCAAAACTGCAGAGCTGTGGCCCTCCAAGAACCGAATTTGAGACCTATGCAATAGAGTTTGTGCATGTAAAATTCTATCATACAGCACTGTGAAAAGGGGCGGGATTAAGCAAGATTATTAGACATAAAAAAGCAATTGGTCCATATTTAAATTTTCCGAGAATTTAAAGTAATTCAGAGTTCACCAAGCTTAAACTTTGCAACGCAGTGATCTGTGAAGTTTGTTGCATGAGCTTGCGTTTCCAGTCTGTTGCATTCGCATGCATATGAATGGAAGTCTATGAGGTGAAAAGTGCAGTGTGACTGCAGCTTTACTTGACTGAGCATGACCTTTTTTAATATAAAATACAGCATTAAAATTAAAACCAATGCAGAAAATCTGTCTGATGCATACTTTTAATGTAAAAAGTTTTAGTTTTGTGCGAGTGGTTCACTTTAAGTAGCAAATCCTGAGTTGTTAGCAAGCTTATCAGACTTGCTCAACTGATAGGAGAGAACTTTAAACTGATAGATGTTTTGGGTTTTAAATTACTTCTAAAACGTTGAAATCTCTTAGATTATTTTAACGTAAATCTATTTGTTACCCAAAATATAAATAAAGAAACACAAATCCAAAGATTTCTTGCTAAGAATTTGTGATTTTTAAAGCAAATGTCCTGATCTTTTTGTCTGCTCTTTTTTTTTTCTTTTTCTTTTTTAAATAAATCAAGTCATCTTATATTCCAGCAGCACTATTATCAATATACACTGCTAAAAAAATAAAAGGAACACCTAACACAATGTAACTTGAAGTGTTTCCTATATTTTTTGAGCAGTATACATTTAGTAATATTGTCAGTACACCCATTATTCAGGTATCATGTTGTCAATAAATCATCAGATAGCTTGTACTTTGCTTTCAGTGAGTAAATATGTATTGACTGAAGGATATTATTTAAAAGAAAAATATTATTTTGCTCTTAGTTTGAAATTAACTTTTCCTCTCCCCTCTTCCTAATATTATTCCTCGTGTTAACAAGCTTTTAGTTCACCTAACTGACAAAGTGCTGTCATGAAGCATATTCTTCCCCGTCTGGTTTCCACCAGGATGATCTTTTGAATTATTTCTCATTAATATCCATCTAGCAAGTTATGTCCACTCACTGGAAAATGAATGTTTTATCACCATTTCCAGTCACACATTGTAAATGAATCCGACATGCATACTTGGATTCAGATACAGATTACTTTGCCACACCAGATCAACTCCTTTTAAAGGAGTCATTTCACGAGGCCTACACTTGCAATATGGCCTCTAAAGATAAGATTTTTATGATATATTTTTGGTTGATTCGTTCAATATTCAGTGTTATTGAGTATCAAGATTGTGTTGGTTAAACTTATGTTTTTTGATTTTTGATCTGTCTAATCTTTACCTATATATATTTTTTTCCCATTTTTAGACATCGAAAGTAAAAATGGGAAATTAGACGACTACACAACCTACAGATCAAAGATGCTGTGTTGCTGTTGCAAACCGGAGGTGTAAATACATAGTAAATTATTTAAATGTATTTTCCTTTGTGTCTGTTTTTAACCATCATTTTCTGAAGATTGAAATATTGTATGTGCACCAATTTGTCTTAAACGAGTGCATGATGCCGTTTGTTCACTTAGGTTGACATCTCTCAGTTCTGTATGAAATGAAAATATCACTCAATGTTTTTGCCCATACGATCTCATAACATAGAATCCCAACATGAGGATTGTTCTGTTTGAAAACGAGAGGTATTATATTTATTAAAATAGCCTAATAACATATATGATGATCTTGCATATGGGGAAAGAACCAACTTGGCCCGATGTTGAGGTCCGTTTTGACATAAATAGGGTGTTATGTTTGTAATCATCTCAAATTCCAATATATAGTTGGCTGTGATTGTTCTGTACAGTACAAGAAAAGTGATTTCAATTGCATTGGTGTGGTTCTTTGCATTGGATGGCCGTAAATCGTGAAGTATTCTCTTGGTCGCCGTATGCAAGGGTATTCTTGTGTTTGCGTGATGAGCTGATCTGATCTCACTCTCATGTGTTGTGTTCCTTTCATGTAGCTGCTGTATTTAAGCAAAAATTTCTTTTAGGAAAAAAAGTTGTACCAAAATAATAATGGTAAAAATGAATCTCCCAAGTTTATTTCTGCCAGCGTAGAGCCTCACTTTGTAGATCTCTTCAGTTCTGGTTGGTTAAAAATCAAAGGATATATTAATCTGATGTGTGTACATATTAAAAAGAAATCTGCTATTTTGTGAAGCATGAGGTTGTTTGCCATTCCGTCTTTTCCTAGTTGTCTTGTGTTTTATTTTTGTTGTTTGTTTGTTTACTTTTTTTGTATTCTTTTTCTTTCTTTCTTGAAACAAGAAGTGGTCTTTATCCCCCAGGTTACTGTATGAAGTCTCAGCTTTATGAACAATATGTACTATTCTCTTTTTACTATTTGTGGTGCGTCAGGTATTTCTGAATAGGCTGTCATGACCTCAAAACTTCACCATTGGTTCCTTTTAAATTTTCTATTTTTAAAAGCTTTAATGTTAATTTAATATAAATAAATAAATGAGTGCAGTTTTTCCATTATAACCCCCCCCCCCCCCCCCAAAAAAAAAAAAAAAAAAGATAAATGCTTAAGTTGCATTTTTCATGGATCTTATTTAATTTATAAATTACAAATATGTAAAGCAGGGCTGTGCAAACTCTGTCTTGGAGGGCTGGTGTCCTGCATAGTTTTGCTCCAACTTAATAAGCTTAATTAGCTGGTTCGGGTTTGTTCAATTGAGGTTGGAACTAAAATATGCAGGACATCAGCCCTCCAGGACTGAGTTTAGGCACCCCTGATATATAGGAAAATCTCAAAGGAACCGGTGGTAAGTTAGGCTTGTCAGTTTTGAAGTCGTCAGTTTTCAGCATCCTGATAGACACAGATATTTAATGCTATACTTAATTTTTGTGTTTGCAAATTTCAACGAGGCTGTATGGTTCTTTCTCAACCTCAAAAATAATATAAACAAGTTTAGAAAGACATTGCCAATTTTTGCAGTGGCTGAAATGCTTAACAGTACAACCCACAGCCTCATTTTCATTCATGTACAATTAAATAGTGTTTTTCCTTCGCTGCAGTCTGTAGGTTATCTAGCAAACCTGACAGTGCTCCGTTTGAACCACTGGTTATGATGACTATGATCAAACTCGCAAGATCAGTTGACCTTTTCTTAAATCAACTGAAATTCTATTTTTATTTCTATTTCTGATGTGTTTGTGAAGTGGAGCTACATACTAAACATGACTTTACTAACCACTGAATGTCCAAAATCAACTGTTAAATGTCTGTCTTTAAGTTAAAATGATCAGTCAACTTACAAACCCAATATGTAAAGCACTAGTCTTGTGAATCGTTTCCAGATGGTCCATTAGTCTTGCACTGGGTCTGTGGAGTGAATTATTAATATATATTTTTTTCTTTACGTGCTTAAGTGTTTCTTTTGAAACATTCCAACTTGGACCTGGTTGTAATGATGGATTACACTGAGAGGCTACTTTGAGTCTCATTATTCCAAAAGTCATGTGGTAAAGATGACCTTGTAAGCATTTCTTGTTTCAGTGATTGTTGAATATGTTAATGTGGTGATTCCATTGTTTTGATGTGTACAAGTGGATCCTCTAGAATTCATATAATTGTCCTTGGAGAAATTAAAAGAAACGTGAAAGTTCTTCGCAGTGTTTTTTATTGTTTGTAGTGCAGCAGAACTCAAACACTTGGTTATCAAATGACTAATCGTTTATTTATATTCTGGTGCTCTACACTCTAGAGGAGGCTTTCATTTTTATATTCTGTAAACGACTAGCTAATAGGAGTTAATTGACCACCTCGGACTATCATTCATATACAGTTGTGTAAATAAAAAAAAAGCAGTGCATTAAAAAGTGAATAAAAATGCAATTATTTTTATAGCTCGTATTTAAAAAAATTTCCATATTTCAAATGTAGTGGGAAGATAAATTACATATTCAATTCTAATTCAACTGATTAAGATTAAGTGATTTTGTATTTTTTTTACAGGAGGCAAATAAAAGGAATGTCAATGGGTTAATTCACCCAAAATGTAATATTATTAATTACTCATCCTCATATTGTTCCGTCTTTGTTCATTTTTAAAGAAACAAACTACAAGATTCTACATGTAATAAGAGCTCTCTCATCCTCTATAGACAACAGTTGTGACCCAGATCATTCAAAGCACTGTCATGATCAACACACAAGTGCTGTATTGTATAGTAAACACACACACTGACCTGATGCAGAGGACAGGCAAACAAAACTTTTTTGGCACACAAAAGTGCTCTTCGTGCTTTGTATTATTATTATAACTTAAACCACTGAAGTCACATCTGGGAATGTTTTTAAATGTAAACTTACTTTGAATGTTTTTTGTATGGTTGATGTCTATGGAGGATGAGCTCTTGGATTTCATCTAAAATATTTTTATTTATATTCTGAAAATGAGATCTTGGGGGATCGTAAGGGTGAGTAATTAATAGCAGAACTTTACATTTTTGGTGAGATAAATAAAAAATAGAGGCATCAATGCTTCGATCTTTTCTTTAGACTGAAACACTTAATAACAAACACATTTTTTACACTTCATTCCAATTACTGAATTTATTTGTATTGCCATTGTATCGGATAACTGCTGGGCATCATAATTGCAGCAAGTTAACCAACTTCTCTCGTACAAAAACCTTTATTTTAATCACTTAACAAACAAACTACATCCACAATTCCTGTGAAATAAGTTTTGCTTCGTAAACTGCATTTTTAATGTTACCTGCAGAAGTTATCAATTGGGTTAAAGTTAGGGCATTGAGCTGGCCACTCCACTACCCTAATCCCTATTGTCGGAAACCAAGTTTTTTCTTGATTACTTCTGTGTTTGGAGTCGTTGTCTCATTGAAACTCCTTTCAGGGGGATTTCCTCCTCAGCAGAGGAACATACTGTAATCTCTTCAAGAGTTTTGATGAATTCAAACTGATCTACGAAACGTGGTAAAGGTTAATAGATCTGGGACCACAGTATGAGAAACATCTCCAAATCATGATTGTTAGTGCAAAAAAGTGTACTTGATTCGAAAAGAGCAATTTACTCCCATAAGTCCACATTTTTTTAAGCCAGTTAATTTGTTCTTTGGTAAATTTGAACCAATTCTCCATATGCAGTATTTTCAACAATGGTGCTTTTATAGGGGTTTCTTACTGACAGCAGAATCTTGTTTGGCTGAATCTTTACCATTTGAACTATTCTTTAATCCATTAAAACTGTAGATGCATTTTTGTTCCATTTTCAACCATTACAAACAATTTAACGTGCATTAGAAACCTTGCTCCACAATTTAAATAAGTTTACCCTTCTTTAGTCAACTTTTTACTTATACATTACTGTTCTGAACAATGTTGGGACTGACCCATTTTATGTCACAATTCAGAAATAAATGAATTTTATAAAAATGTGTAACGCAATGCTAACTTTTCACGTTAATAAAGGACCTTTAATGACAGCTGTTTTTTATTCTCTTATTAATGACACAGTTGTTATTTTAATACATACTGTAAAGTATACCCAATTACAACGAACAGAACACATGACATAATCAGCTCTGCTGTTTTTCTATAATGATACTACATCCTCAAGTAACTAATTTTAAATCAACAAATATACTGCCAATGACAGGTTACAGATGTTGTACTGCTATTTTTTGACACAACTGCATTTTGTAGTTGGGGAAAGACTTTAATACTGACCAAAGGTGTTTGTTTTGCATTTGATTTAGTATTATAAAATGTAAATTATACTTTTGGTGGCCGCAGAGATCCATTTATATATATATATATATATATATATATATATATATATATATATATATATATATATATATATATATATATATATATATATGCAGATTTAGTGCTGAACAAACGTCTTATTCATGTTGAAAACTATTTTGTTATGATTATTTCAGTGTATCTGATTAAAAGAAAATTAATTTTTTTTGGAGAAGAAACAAGCAAAACCCAAAGTTTTCTTTAATTTTTTTTATTCTAACTTTGTAAAAGACGTCTCATTTTTTAGTAATTTAGTTTTTTAAGTTTAATATACATTCATTCATTCGTTTTCTTTTCGGCTTAATCCCTTTATTAATCTGGGGTCACCACAGCGGAATAAACCGCCAAGGTATGCATATGTTTGGCACAGCGGATGCCCTTCCAGCTGCAACCCATCACTGGGAAACACCCATACACTCTCATTCACACACATACACTACGGACAATTTAGCTTACTCAATTCACCTATAGCGCATGTCTTTGGACTGTGAGGGAAACCGGAGCACCCGGAGGAAACCCAAGCCAACATGGGGAAAACATGCAAATAAGTTGAATACATCCTTTAGGTTAATTAATTAAAAAAAAAAAAAAAAAGAACAGAGTACAGAACCCAAAATGATAGGCCAATTGTATTTTTCAATGGGGATATAAATAAATATATAAGGCATTAGTACTAGTAAATGAATGAACGTAGGAAACATTTTATACAGTAGCTGGCATGTTTTATTTAATATTATAAACTAATGACAAATTAAAAAAATAAATAAATTGGCTAAATAAAATCAACAAAATTATTATCACTTATAATCATACAAAATACTTATCGGGAACTTTTGAAAGTCCAAATCATACAACGGAAATTACCCATGTATACAACTATATACTTTTGCAGATTTTTATTATTATTATTAGAAATGATGCACGCTTTATTAAATGCAGCATTATACACAAGCGAAGCAATAGCCTGAAACATCCATCAGATGGCGACAAACTACGACACGTTTCAAGTCTTTCATCGTCTTGTTCAGCAGGTGCATCGCTTTATGCTTTTTGTTATTAAAATATTTATAGTACAAGATATTAAACGTGACACTTTAGGAAATAGAGATACCCGCTGAGCATCGCCTGTCAGTCGTGACAGCAGAATTATAGACTGTGACTACAGAATAGTAGACTAAGTGTAGACTGAAACGAAGTGTAAAGGACCACGACATCTTTTTCTCACTGTTCTAAGGGATATACAGCCTAAAACGAACTGCTATTAGAGCAAAAATGCTTACACCTACAAATAAATGCCATTCGTGTCCAGGCAAAATACCAAAACAAAACAGAACATGGACGGCGACTGCGCGCCCTCTTGCGGCGATAAAGCGAACGACCGTTTGAGCCCTCCGAGTCTCCGTACTAAAGAAAACCTGCCTCCCGATGCCTTTATTCGCACACCCATCATCTCTCCTCGCCAAAAAAAACACAGCACGGACAGATGAAAATACACGGCAAAAAATTCAGTCTCATCACTGGAGTGTACGCTTTTGCCAAAGCCTCTGAACAACATGGAGATATATAGCATTCCTGCAATATGGCATAATCCTTTCATCAGTGAGCGTTTCTTTGCGAAAAATGAATTAATCGCCGTTGTCGGCAGAAAAAAATAACGCTATCCGGCAAGTAACTCCTTCTTTTTACATGGATATTAGGAGAAAAATACATGCACTGCACACAGATGACACATTTCCAGCTGAAACTGACAGTTCTTCAGAAAAACACAGTCAGCTGAAGTGAATACAACAAAGATGAATCCCTTTTAGAGGAGCTCTCCGGCTTGCAGAGGATCAAGGTAAGAAATTACATGTTTGTTTGTTTTTCATGCACATCTGAAACACGTTTCTGTCTCTGCACGACTTCCTTTGCACGATGCTCTTTGTTTCCCCTTTATATCACATGCTATCTTTATTGCCTGCCATCTTGATCAAGGCGTCCAGATATTCCACATAGAGATGCAGGCTGTACGATCTTAACTCTTGGTCAGATCACAATGCCACAATATAGTCTCTTTTTTCCATCGACATGCACATTTCAGCTCCTCCCAGCAGAGTCGAGTGAAAGCTCAAGGATGATGCTGTGCTTTGGTACCCACAGCATCCATGGACAGCATCCTGCTCGGTGTCTCCTGATGTAGGAAGCTGGCAGGACATGTGTGGCTTTGTGGCCAAAGATCTGAGAGAATAGTGAAGAATTCACTCCAACACTTTTATTATGAAGCCTGTATGTATGCTGCACTGTCAAGGTCTTCATAATTCATATCTAAATTAATACTCTCGTCAATAACAAACAGCACAGTACACTCTTATTGATGGCTATACTTCAAAAGAGTGATTTCAAACATGATTAAAGCCCCAGTTCATGTTTATACTCTTTATTAAGCAGGAATAGGAATTTTAGAGTCTTTGTAAGTGCAATGTTTTTAAGGTATACACTTGATCACATTTGCATTATGCTTACAGGATTCATAGAAGGTGTTGCTACTGTAAATATTGTACTGTAAGCTTTTTGGTGGGGGGTTATGAATTAGTACTGCTCCAATTTGAAATTAGGTGGTGTTAAGCATTTTCCTTGTAACCTTTTTGATTAGTAAATTATTGATTAGATCACATCAATGGCACTTTAGTCTCAGGGGCAACTGTGCTTTGTGGGGTCCAATTAACATCCAGCTGTCTTTCATATTTATTTAATTGGTAACACAGCATATTTAATTGACTGCACAGATTTTTAAATATCGTTTTAAGTAACTGCATTGTTAAAAAAATTACATTAAGAATAATAAATAATTGCTCAGTGTCAGTTTATACAGTACTTTGCCAAAACCTTGCCAGCTCTATTTAGTTTTGTTGTGTGATATTATGTTGGAGGGTTTTTTAAAGGACTGTTTGTTCACTTGTTAACTGATTTTCTGAACCTTTCTGACTCCTTTAGGAGGACTGTTTTTGATGACTCCCAACCTAAATGTTATATCCAAAATCAATAGTAGAACAAATACTGAATCCATTTTGAAGTTTTTCCCCTTATGGTTTAGTATTAAAACACCGTCTAGGCCAACTCTTTATTAATTCTTTATACACAATACCTGACAAAAGTCTTGTTGCCTATCCAAGTTTTAAAAACAACAAATAATGACTTCTAGTTCATCATTTGGTATCAAAAGTGGCTCACATAAATAGCAAAGGCCTCTAGATTACACTTATAATACCAAAATAAAATATGATCATGCCTTGTTTTTTAATTATTTAATTAGAACAATAAGGTCCGACTTTGCCCAGACAAAAGTCTTGTCACTTGACAGAAATAATTTACAGTGTAGAATAGAAATCAACAATCAGTTGCTCTTATTTTATATGCAAGCTACTCCTGTTATTTTATCGCATATTAACAGCAGCATAATAATGAATATGAACGCTACACATTTCCCTTACAGGATGAGAGAGAAGTTAAAAAGGCTGGCAGTTTGTGTTTTAGCTGTACTCATTTGCAGTCAATAACATCTGTTGTGCTCCATTATTTCTCAGTGATTCCTGCAAGTGACGTTTTTTCTCAGCGTCTATCTGTACATCTCATGCCCCCACACAATCTGCTTTTTAAGATTTCTTTCTCTGGCATGATACCTGAGAGGCCCAAGGGCAGACTGTCCATTGGTTCATTTTACAGTTGGGTTTAAACAGGAGCTGCTCTGTTTGGCTAATCTGCCTCCATCCACCAGAGATAAATGGCCTTTCAAGCCAGCCGTGGTCCATGAGTTCTTTTTCCCTGATCATTGGATCGTACAGATGATACTTTATTTAAGGTATTACTAACCTATATAGTTTATCTAAACTATAAAAAGACTCTAAATAGATAATGCAAAAGGATTATCCTTTTTATTAATAATAATAATTGTTAGTGATTATGAATTTTAGCCTACATTGAAGAGGATTTTAGGACAATTGACTAGTTTTTGCTGAATCTTTGCCATCTTGGTTGTTATAGTGAAAATGTAATTCATTTAATTTTACTTTAATACATTTAATTAAATAAATAGATGTAATAAATAAAAGTAATACATTAAATTAGAATGTATAATATTTAAATTGGCAGCATGGTGGCTCAGTGGTTAGCACTGTCGCCATACAGCAAGAAGGTCACTGTTTCGAACCCCAGCTGGGTCAGTTGGCATTGCTGTGTGGAGTTTGCATGTTCTCTCCCATGTTCGCCTGGGTATCCTCCGGGTGCTACGGTTTCCCTTACTGTCTAAAGACATGCGCTATATAATTAAATAAGTCAAATGTATGTGTGTGAATGTGAGAGTCTATAGTGTTTCCCAGTGATGGGTTGCGGCTGGAACGGCATTCCCTGCGTAAAACATATGCTGGATAAGTTGCCTTTTCATTCCGCTGTGGAGAGCTTTGATAAATAAAGGGACTAAGCTGAAGGAATATGAATGAATAAATAATTAAATTGTAATTTGATTAAACTGAAATATTTAATTTAACATGAAAAATATACTTGATTATTGTAAATGTTTGTAAATTGTGTTTATATACTGTACAGTAAGTGTTTATATATATAGGCCCATTAAAAAAAAAAATCAAAATCTGGACACTGGTCATACAGATGAGGAGTGAAACCGTTGGGTGTTGGGATTTGTTGTCATGGGAACAGTAAAACCCGTGACAGAGGTGGCATGAAGTGAACTGCTTTGTTTCGTACATCAGTCTTTTGTCTCAGTTTAAAGTGAATTTTTCTAAACTCAGAAGAATGAAATTTCTCATTTCTTCAGCTTGGTTTTGCCCTGGAGTACAGAATGTTTTTGCCCCAGTCAGAGTACGAATGTGTTTGTCGGTTGTGGTTTATTTGTGAGGGAGTTGCGTATTTAGGTGAATGAGGATAATCATGTCTAAGTCCATCCAGATGCCAACTTGGAGGTCCGTCCAAACGAAGGCTTCAGCTGCGGCGGTTTAATTTGTCTCTTGGCTTTGAGGAGAGTGAGCAGCTGGACTTGAGGCAGGCAAAAGCTGGGGCCGCGGTCTGTGGAGTTACACGCTAACAGAGCTGGAGCGTGGCCACACAAGCCTTCCTTCAGCTTGTTTTTGTGCTGTGATATGGACTGTCTGTCCAGACAATGCTGTCTTGTAATTAGCCACTCTGCTTCATGGTTTTTCCAGGAATGAATCATATTACCTTTGTGATATTCAGAATTAGATACATTTCAAACACTGAATGGAAGGAAAAGAATTTGAATGTGTAAAACTGTTTGGTGTTCGTGTAAGCCAGATGAAACTTTTAGTTTTGAGTTGGGCTTTTTGGAATATAGTGGGTTCAATGCAAGTTAAGCTTAGTTGACTGCATCTGTGGGATATTGCTGATTAGAACAAAATAAATAAATCATTCAGGTTTAAAGATTTTTTAGCAGGATTTGAAAGCAGAAATGGGAAGCATGTTTTTGTTAGCTAATGGTGTACATCAGTGGTCACCAAACTTGTTCCTGGAGGGCCGGTGTCCTGGAGATTTTAGCTCCAACCCTAATCAAATACACCTGAACAAGCTAATCAAGGTCTTACTTTGTATACTTGAAACACCCAAGCAGGTGCGTTGAGACAAGTTGGAGCTAAATCCTGCAGGGACAGCGGCCCTCCAGGAGCGAGATTGGTGACCCCTGGTGTACATCATACTTCAAATGATCAGAAAAATAAGACTGGAAAATATGTGTTTTAAAGTCGCCATGAAGTTAAGATTGTTTGTTTAACCTCCCTATTGTGACGTAAAACCAATTTAACTACTTTCTGAAGTGAGAAAAAAATGTTGAGTTATGCATGATTTTGTCTTTTGGGAACCAATTGAATCGTTTGATGGCCATTGCTACCAAAATGAAGAAATAATTGAATGCACATTTGCAGTTGTGGAGGTTTACTGTCTACCAGAATTACCCCCTGGTGGGGGTGATGACAAGAACTAGGAGCTACATTTTACTGGAATTGTATCATATTCATTAGAACTACAGTCTGAAATGAGACAAGGCATGGGCTGATAACCTTGGATAAAAATATCATGGTTTCTTGTGATTACTGTTCTAAATTAAGTTGTTTTGCAACGTTTGAGTAAAAAAACACTTTTTTCCCCATTGAATATGTTATATAACACATATATTTATATATATATATATTAACATTTAAAATATTTTTAAACAGTAAACATGCCAGGCTAAATAATAAAAATAAATGCTGTCTTCATTAGTTTTAAAAACACAGATTTCTTTACAACTTGAAAAGGCACCTTTTCTTTTCTTCAGATCTTCTTTTATTGGATACAAAGTAAGTTGGTTTATATGCTGTTTATATCATTGGATGTTGGTTTGTAAGTGATTTTTTTTAGAGGTTTCCTGAATCATGGACTGACCAGTAGCTTTTGATGTGGAGGGTTCTTTTCTGCTGGGAAACTGTTGCCTTAAAGGGCCACGAAACACCAAAACACATTTTTTGAGCTGTTGACAGTCGTATACTGTATGTGTCCCACACTGCTAAAAACACTATTAGGACACCTATATTTCACTTAAAAGTGTAAATTGGTTGTTTTTGCGTTATTTCAAGCAAATTCGTACTTCCGGTTTGAAACAAATTTTTGAAGCTGCGTCACGGCCATGACATAATAGCGTGTATTCCAGCGTGCAGACTGGGCGTCTGTGCTAGAGTGAGTCTTATTACGTCTTACAGTTTGTTGCATTAATGCATGAGTAAGGCTTGGTTCAAACCAATCAGCGCGCTCTATTGTGCAACTTCATTAATATTCATTACTGTCAGAGTGTAGATG